TGCTTCCACATACTGAAGCATCACAGAATTTCATAGAATTTTGGGTTGGAAGGCTCTTTTAAATTTCTTCTCGTCCAATCTCCCTACAACCAGTAGTGACACCTTCCACTATACCAGGTTGTTCAAAGCCTCACACAAGCCTGACCTAGAACATGTACAGAGATCTATCCTCTCTCTGGGCAACATATTCCTCTGTATTACACCCTCTTTGTAAAAAATTTCTTCATAGCTAGTCTGAATCTACCCTCTTCTAGTTTAAAACTGTTTCCCCTGCCCTATCACAACAAACCCTGCTAAAATATTTCTTTTAAGCTCCCTTTACGTGCTGAAATGTTGCACCAGTCTCCTCAGTGCCTTGTCTTCTCCAGACTGAATAAGTCCAGTTGTCTCAGCCTGTCCTCATAAGAGAAGTGCTCCTGCCCTCAGATCATTTCTGTGGCCTTCTCTGGGCTTGGTCTATGTCCTCCCTTTGCTGAGGACTCCAGAGCTGGAGGCAGTATTTGAGATGGGGTCTCAGCATAGAGGGGCAAAATCAGGAAACAGTCAGCTTTCTGGGCTGCAAGAGCACATTTACATGTTATATATATATATATATATATATATATATATATAAGTTATATATATATAACTTATATCCAGCCTTTCATCCATGAAGGAAGACATCCCTAGTTATCTCACTGCCAATGGCTGTCAGTCGTTGCCTGGCTGCGTCTCCTCTCAGAAATTCCACTTGGACCTGAAGCACATCATACAGTCAGGACTCCTGAAAACTGCCGTTCTCTAGAAGAGAACTGCAGGCATGTGAGAAGTCCTGAGGAGGTCAGCATTTCCAAAACTTCTTAGGGAAGTGTGCTTCTCTTGCTTTGTGTGAAGCTGTGCTGAGCAAGAGAACTGCAGGCATACGGGAAGTCCTGAGGAGGTCAGCATTTCCAAAACTTCTTAGGGAAGTGTGCTTCTCTTGCTTTGTGTGAAGCTGTGCTGGTCAAGAAGGCTCACAAGCCAAAGAATGGCAGGAGTTGGAAATGGGTTAATAGCCTTGGAATGGCCTACATTCCCTGCTCCACTGCTCCTCTCCTCCATCACCTGATCCAGGGGCCATGGTCAGCGTGCCTGGTCACAGGCAGCAGAGACAATTTCCCCCTGCAGCCCTCTCCCCTTGCAGCACAGCCTCTGGCTCACCTGGTGCTCCTCGTGCAGAGCTGAGGTGTGTTCCCAGTGGCATCAGCTACAGCAGGCCCCACGCTGGAGTCCTTCTCCCTTGAACCCATCAGGTGAAGTCACCCCGGGAGAGGGAGTGGTGGAAAAACACACAACAGGGCTTTGTTCTGCCTTGTCTTGCCCCAGGACAGAGCAGCTGTCTTGAGGCCCAAGAACTCTATGGCCCCACAGGTGTCACAACCCAGCCACAAGTGCACTTCTACCCCAGACAGAGTCGGTGGGAGTCAGAACAGAGCCAGCAGGTGACCCCAGGACAGGGAGCACCAGGACCAAGATCACCTGGACCCAATTCAGCCATGGGCTCAGCTCCACCTGGTCCCTGCCAGGAGCTCTGTGACAGCCCAGGCCTAGCACAGGCCTGTCCCAGCTCTGCCCTCTCAGTGCCTGCGTCTGGCCTGAGCTACTCTTGTTCTCTTATTGTACCCTTATTCTTGTACTCTTGTTCTGTCTCCTTCACCACCCATGGCAGTCACAGGATGGATCCTGCTCATGGGCTTCTTTTGAGCCTGGCCCTGCCCTGAGCCCCAGCACCAGCTCTGGCCCTGGCACTCCTACCCAGGTCTGGTCCTCCTGGGACCTCCTCCACATCTGTACAACAGATTAGGGTAATAATTAACAGATACTTCAGGGGGCAGAATTTTCTTCTAAGACAGAGGTCTGAGATGGACAAGATGTCTTGCATTTTCTCAGTAGTCCTACACCAAGAACATATTTCTGGGCATTTCCCTCAACAACTGACTCCCTAAGGCCTACACTTCCTCAGGATTGGTGATGAATACGTATCCACAGCCTGGAGAGCACCAGCCAGAACTTTTCTAAGCACATCTGAACTACTGGAAGTACATAAGGAGAGCTTTAGGAGCAAGAAAATAAATCAAAATGCCTGAGATTCTGAACACAAACAAACACTGGAGCAAGTTGGGAGGCATGGAGGAAAGACACATGGCATGTCATTTTGCAGTGGTATCATGGCATGTCCCTGGGTGACCAGTCTAGGGTTGAAGTGCTGAGAGCAGCTGGGTCCCTTCCTATCAACAAGGCCACAGGCAACACCACCAGTGACTTCCAGACCGACCTCACTTCCCCACACTGCACCCATCGAGCACTTGAGCAGAAGATCCCACAGACACATTCCTGCCCTGGAAATTCTGAGGCGTCTCAGTCTCAGGACTCAGAATAAGCTTCCATGAAGAAATGTCTATGACATAAGCCAGGAAATGAAAAGGTGGCAACGCGGAAAACAAGCACCCAGCCCATTCATTAGCTGAGGTGTTTTCCATACATCATGAGCACCTTTAGGAAATTACCACTTTCATAGAAGCCACCTCTAGGCCTGGGGCAACTCAGAGCAACCATAAAAGCCAGCCAGACTTCATGCTCTCTCATTCACTTCTCCTGCCTCCTTCTCCTTGGGATCCAGGTGAGTCTGAAACTCTTTTCCCCTGTCCTTTTTTGATAAAGCAGATGTGTGCTCCTATAGCCTGTGAGAGGTCTTAGTGCTGCTGCAAGGTCTGACTTAGTGTCCCTTGGGTGAGGGAGCTCTTTATTGAAAAAATAAAGTGAAACTTTGCAGTACTGTGTCAGGATGAGGCTGAAAACTCCTTTATCTCTCTGCCTAGTTTCTCCCTTCTGGCTCAAGCAGGTACCATTGCAATTCTTGCCGTGGGATGATGGACTCATGGCCAATGGCTCCTCACATGTGCCTGTGCTCTGCTTCCTTCCCTTACCTCTCTCTCAGGTGCATCTGCAGCCCCAAGCCATGTCCTGCTACACCCCGTGCCGGCCCTGTGGCCCCACCCCGCTGGCCAACAGCTGCAATGAGCCCTGTGTCAGGCAGTGCCAGGACTCCACCGTGGCCATCCAGCCCTCGCCCGTGGTGGTGACCCTGCCCGGCCCCATCCTCAGCTCCTTCCCACAGAACACCGTGGTGGGATCCTCCACCTCTGCTGCTGTTGGCAGCATCCTCAGCAGTGGTGGAGTGCCCATCAACTCTGGGGGCTTTGACCTCTCCTGCATCACCAACCGCTACGGTGGCAACAGATGTCGTCCATGCTAAAGCCAGTGGTGCAGCCCTCACAAAGACCCCCAGGAACCCAGAAGCTGATGCTGGACTGAGGTCAGAGCTCCTGGCCATCAAATTCAGAGGTGCTGAGCAACCAATGCTGCCCTTCTGAAGGAGGGCAGGTGGGGCTCTCTGAAATCATGGCCACTGTTTGCTTTCCTTGCATTTCTATCTCTCTCTCCCACCTCTCTCTTGTCTTCCATACTTTTGGACTGTAAGACTTGCAGAGCCTCTCTGGGAGATCTGCTAACCTCTGCCCACTGTAGGGCAGGCAGATGGATGCCCTGTTGGCTCTCCAGTGGCTCTCCAGTGTCTGTGACAAAGACTTTCTGCGGTTACATGTGGTCTCCCACCACCACCACCAGTAGCCTCCTCTATAAGGGAACTCATTTCCCACTTCAATGACAATAAAGCTTTCTGCATTTCACCCTCAGCCTCCATGTAATCTTTTTTGGTGTCCTTGTCTCAAGTTGCTGAGACCAAAAGGCATTGCCATGGGTGGTGGAGGAAAAGGTGGGGACACAAGTGGATCATTCATTATTCCCAGAGGAAGAGGAGGGTGGGAAACACAGAAATGGGGCCCTTTCAGGCACTGTCCCTTGGAGCTGAGGAAGACATCCGTGACTTCTCCACAGACAGCAGGAATCAGGCTCAGCCTTCCAACATTTCTGCTCACATATGACTCCTTGGTCTCAGAGCATGCCCTGCAGATGGAGAGTACAAACCACCTTCAGGACCAGACCTAACAGACTCTGTGGACTCTTCCCACAGTCAGTGATGGGAGATCAGATCACCCAGGGGACTTACCCCATCCTCACCCAAAGCAGATGTGCACACAAAACAGCATGAATCATCTTTCTGGATACACAAATCCTGCAGCTGACCAGTGGTGGCCTCTGAACTCCTTAATTAGGAGAAGCTCACAGCAGGACCTGCATACTTGGTCATGTGGGCATGGCTTGCTTCATTGAGCAATCACAAGTGAACCCACAGGCTCCAACACCTCCATCCTATGGCTATACTCCACATCCATTTCCATGGATAGGACAGATAGCAAGGAGATGGTTTCATGGTCACCAAATAGGCTCAAGCTGAGCCCTTTATTCTCATTAGCTGCATCTCCACCTCACATCAAGTACATGTCAGTTTTCTCTCAACCGCACTGAAGCCTGGGACACTTGTGTGGTGGTCCTGGATAGTGCAGGCAGACTCTGGAGGTGAATCTAACTCAAGATGTCTGGAGGATAAGTGTGTATATTTTTTTGTGTGTGTGGTCTAAGTCAGCTGACTAGTTTATCTTGAGGGTCATCATAAGAAAAAGACGTGTCTGTAAGGCCTGTATTTCCTGATCTGTAAGAGATCATATTTTTGTAAGGGTTGAACTAAGGCTTGAGAGTGCCTGTTTCTCTCAGCTGATGATGAATGGAGCAAAGATTACCTCTATAGAAGACATCTTTCCTGAGTCAGGGGAAATAAATTTTCCTCTACTAATGTCTTATCTGATTTTGAACTTCGATCTTTAATCAGTTCTTCAATTATAGATGAAGACAGAGGCCTTAACCGCATTTAGAGGCTCTGAAACGAAGGTAGGTGCATCCCTTACCTTACAGTCTCTGTGTTCATGTGCCCATTGTTGCGTTTAGTTACTTCCTACCCTGCAGGTTTGGTGGCCACCTTTGTATCCAGCACCAAATACTTGACCCTTCCAGTCTCTTGGAACATGACTATTCCAGACATCCCCGTGTCAGCTGAGTTCCTGACAAGGTTCTCATACCACAGCAGCAGGTAGGAGGCAAACAGCCAGCCTAGCAGCCCCTTAGGGAATTGCATTGCTGTTCTTTAATTGGCCTGTGTGAAGAGAGAGTACTATTTATCTAAGACCTCCCAGAGGTCAAACTCTCTGGGGCACAGCAGAGGGAAAGCAGAAAACAGTCTCCTAGGCTTGGCCAGCTGGAGCTTCATTGTGCTAATGAGGTGGGTGTGGAGATGTTCTTACGCTAATGATGCTGGCACTCTCTGGTGTATGATCTCACTGTACGAAGCTAAGCTGAAGAGAGTTTACACTTTGTGTGTGTGCACACAAAGCTGCCTTTAGTGGAATTACAGTGGTGGCTGTGAGAGGGAAAAGATCAGGAGTGGAAGCTGTCAGATCCTACTGAATGGAGAGGAAACCAGGTCAGACAGTTGCCATCAGCTTGAAGTGAGTCAGCGAGAGGAGAGCTGCTTATCCACACACCTTCAGCTGAATCCAGAGTTCCCCCCAGTAAATCTTCCTTTTTCCAATGCTCTCCGTTAGCCAAGGGGACCATGGCTACCTTGGGAGGACGGTGCATGAGAAAATGTCATTTGGATCATTTCCACTGGCAAATCTGGTGAGTGAAGCCTGCCCAAGACACATAGCACAGACTTCCAATGCCTTGCATGTTTAAGGAGAGCCGATTTAAGGGAGATTTTTTTAATCTTTAAGTATATAAGATGTCTGGTATATATTACTGTGGAGGAAGATAGGAGACAAAGAGAATGATTCAGATGGTGATTTAGTCCATCTCCTTCCATATCCACCTGAATATATGTTCTCTCTAGAGAACTGATAAAGAATCCTCCCTTGTTTGCAGGAACAGTTCAGCAGAGCTACCTTTAATGGGATTAAACTCAGAGGATTTTGCCTTCAGTTGCTGAGACTGAATATCTCCGCCCAAGTTGAGATGTCTAACATCCAGGTGCTTATTAGACTCCTGCCTTAGACCTCAGAGGCAACCTGGCACTTCCAGAGGGCTTTTAGCCATGTTTATAAGACAAAATGAGCCATGTCTCCCTCATGCTTTTTCTCTCTCTGTGAAGAAAGAAGGAGGGTAAGCTGAGGAGCTGAGATAGATAGTTTTTCACCGTAGATATTTCAGCTTGGTCAGCAGAAATCCTTCCCTTGACTCTGAGATGGCAAAATTGCAAAGAGGTGAATCGTACCCCTAGTAGCTATGCTGAGAAGCAGACATCAGTGAGGGAAATGGAGGTATTTGCAAAAGCTTCCTGTTCTGAGGCTTGGAAGAAAGCAAGTATAGGAGACCTTGAGTAGTGACTGTCATACTAACCTGCTGCCCTATGTGGCTGCAGCTCAGTCTCAATCTCTTGTAATAAACTGTCATAGAAGAGGAGGGGAAATCTCTTGCAGTGTCACATTATCATGAGAGTATTTGCATTCCTCAGTTGCATTTGCTGATATCACACATCAGTATTGCCAGATGACTACAGGTTATGTTATTCCCTTCCTACTTGTAACAGCTTTTCCCATAGCTGGAGTGCCTCAGCCTGTTGTCATAGTTTCCTAAGTGGGATTTTCATCTCACAGATGTAGTCACAGAAGTGACTACATTCCCCATGCTGTAAAAGAGGTGCATGTTCTGATAAATACTTCTCGAAGTGTTCATTTGTTGGGTTATGCCTGGTTTTTAGGGTTAGAACTAGTTGTCCAAATGTTTTTCATCAGGGAAGGATTTCTCTGACAATTTTAACATAGGGTAAATGCCATTTTCCCATGCTGTCCACCAACTGTATTTTCAGGGATGGTGATTTTTTTTCATTACTTGTAGCATCAGCAGAAGCATACAAACTTTCACAGAAACTTTTCTTTCTTTGCAGACAGACCTCAACATTTGGAAGGAAATGGCAAATGGGACAAGTGTGGAAGAATTTATCCTTCTTGGATTCCCAGGCACATGGCAATTCCGAGTCTCCTTTGTGGTGGTATTTGCACTGATGTACATCCTGACAGTAATAGGCAATGCATCCATTATAGCTCTTGTGTGGAGAAGCAGCAACCTACACACCCCAATGTACTTTTTCCTCTGTAATCTCTCCTTTCTGGAGATCTGGTACACTACAGGTGTTGTTCCCAAAGCTATAGGAGTCATGCTGGGCACTAGCCAGACCATCTCCTTCAGTGTGTGCATCCTCCAGTTGTTCTTTCTTCTCTCTCTAGGCTCCACTGAGTGTTTTCTCCTGTCTGTCATGGCCTATGACCACTACTTAGCCATATGCTACCCCCTGAGGTACTGCTCCCTCATGAACAGTGTCCTCTCTGTTCGGCTGGCACTCAGCTCCTGGCTGGGAGGCTTTTTGGCCATTTCCCTGCTGGCCTTTCTGACATCCAGGCTGACTTTCTGTGGGCCAGATGTCATCAATCATTTTCTATGTGATATAGATTCCTGCCTTGCCCTCTCCTGCAGTGATACATGGCCTGTGGAGCTGGCAACCTTCCTTATCTCCATAATAGTTGTGGTGGCCTCCTGTGTGGTCACCCTAGTCTCCTACATGTACATCATCTGTTCCATCCTGCGGATCGAGTCAGCCCATGGCCGGAAAAAGGCCTTTTCCACCTGCTCTGCCCATCTCAGTGTTGTCACGATCTGGTATGGCTCCACCATGTTCCTGTATGTCAAGCCATCAGCCCAGAATTCCCTGGATCTGAACAAAATTGTGAATACCTTTAACACAGTGGTAACTCCTTTGTTAAACCCCTTCATTTACACACTCAGAAACAAAGAGGTGAAGCTCGCTTTGGGACGGGCTTTCCAGAAAAAGTGAAGTGACTTTTCACAGGGCATCAGTTGAACAAACAGATTCATCCCCACCGTCCCATGACTTCTGCCCTGCAGAAGATCCCCACTGAAGTGTAAGTCTGTGTGGGCATCCCAGGCAGCAAGAAGCTGCCAATTCCCCAATGAGTTCATGTCACCTTACAGCAATCTCTGGCTGGGCTGAGCCTTAGTTCTGCTGCTCCCATCACCCTCTGTTCATTCCCTGTGAATACAGAATGCCTCCCAGTCCTTTAAAATGCTGTGCTTGGAAAGGGTCACAAACCCCATCCGTAAAGGTTTCTGTAACAGAGCCAGAGGAGTGGTACTCCCACAGGTTTCTACCTCCGTTTGCCAAGTGCTTCATTTTGTCAGGGTTTGTCTGAATCTCCTAAAGAAATCCCAGCAACTTTAGGAAACATAGCTTTAAGAAGTAGATTTAGCCTGAGTTTTGTGATGTATCTATGCCACATTCTTGTAGCTATTTCATCAAATCATACTCTGATTCAGGATAAAATTTGGCAATGTCTAATATCTGTACCCATAGCTATTATTCCTAGCATAAGACTGCAAACAAAATTATAATAAAATAGTATCTGAATCTACTATCTTATTTTTAATTAAAATTATGCAAAATTGTGTGCTTCATATGAGATGTGTCAGGGCATTTCCACATCTAAAACCCCACATCATTTTTAGCACTACATTGTTCCACCCATTTTGGTCTTTGTTGTGGAAAAACTTTAATGGGATTGGCAAAGCAGTCAAAGTGCAGAGCTGTGGAAGGCTGGCTGAGAAGCAAGTCTCTCTTTACACTCATTGGGAGGATATTAGCACTTCTAAACAACATTTGCTTTTCCCCTCCCAATTTTCATTTCAGAACAGATTAATCATGTTCTCAAACCTTTTCTTTCTGCTCACTGGCACTGAAGATAGTCTATGTAACCACTTCATAAGGAGGAAGCATCAACATGGTAGACACACCTTTGTGGAGGGTGTGGGATTAATTTTTCCTGAGTGTAGAGCTCTCCAAGGGAGATAATTTAGTCTGAACTGAGCATCTACTCTTCCCTTCTAGAAGCAATGGCATTTTTGGAGGAGATTCACAAGCCTCCTGCATCCACCTGGGCACTTGGCACTTAATCCTGTATCCAGGCACCTTTGCCCAAGGCACAGGCTGATTCCCATTCTTTGTCAGCTGTGCTGTTTTTCTGTGGTATTTGGGAAGATGCCAGGGACAGCAGAAAGAGTCTGAGGCTGGATTTATCCTCAGATAGGCATCACTGCTTGTGATTTCTGCCTAAGAATGATGCATTTTGGAGAGGGTTGTATATTTAGATTGTTGAAGCCCTCTACAGTCCTGGAGAAAAACAAAAAGCAGGACTTGAAATGTCCAAGAAATCCAAGACACAGCAGAGTGCAGGTCACTGAGACCTGCTGTGAATGCCTCATCAACACTGCTTAGAGCCCTGAGATAAACAGGGGAATGCAAAGCCTCACACAGGGCTCTCAGAGCAGACCCTTGTCACTTGGAAGAGGCAAGCTATCCTGAAACAGCAGCAGAAAAAGAAATGAGTACCCTGAGATTTCTCAGGCAAAGGGAATGATACTTCATGAGCAACAGATTCCAGTTTAAAGGATGGGATCCATCTGGAAACTCAGCACCCTTGAGCTGAGTGCTGTAGTGGGGTTGCCTGAAAATGGGTCCCCAGAAGCCTTCCTTTAGCTCATGGGAGGAAAGAAGATCACTGAGTTGTTACCAGCTGTTGGACAGAGAAACTGGCATGGACTCGAGAACAGTGCTGGAGCTCCCTCCAGCATTGGTGATTTCCCTGAAAAAGAGAGACATGAAAAAGAGTGGGACCACTCTCTGGCAGTGGATGAGTGCAGGAAGAATCTTGTCCAGAATCTGGCTGATGGCTGTTTTCCACTTGCTGATGCAGGGTAAGGAAGAACCCTTCCCATCTTGGGCTTCTGTGACCACAGTGGCAAAACCATAAGAGCAATTGTGCCTCCTACCAAAGGCCTCATTCTCCAGCTGTGCCCATCAGTGGAGGCCCATGGAGATGAAACAGGAAGAGCCATTAGGCTATTTGCTCTGAGAATTCTGGTGTTATTTTAAATAGATAACATTGATAAGGCTGGTTTGGCTTGTTTATGGTGTAGCCTCCAATACTTCTGCCTCAAGTCAGGTTTCTTGGATAGTTTTCAGTATCAAAATCCCTGGATCTGGAAGCTACTGTGAAAATCACACGAGTATGTGCTTCACAGCAGCATAGCATCCACTACCAGGGATGGGGCAGCTAGAGCTTCTCTGGACAATCTGTGCAAGGGTCTCACAACCCTCAGAGGGAAGAAATTTTTCTTAGTAACTAGTATGAATCTGCCCTGTTCCAGTGGAAAGCCATTCCTCCTTGTCCTGTCACTCCATGCCCTTATAAAAATCCCTCTTCATTTCTCTTGGATCCTCTTTGGGCATTGCAACGTGATTTAAGGTATCCCTAGAACCATTTTCAGACTAAACACATTCATCTTTCCCAGCCACGTTTCCATAGCAGAAGAGCTGCAGCCCTCTGAGCATCTTCGTGGCCTCTTCAGCACCTTCATATTGGGGGCCCCAGAACTGGACCCAGCACTCCAGCTGGGGTCTCACAAGAGCAGAGTACTGGGGGACAAACACTTCTCTATACCTGGTAGTCACTCTTCTTTTGATGCAATACAATTCTCGTATACAATTCCAGGGCTGTTTGTGAACAGTGCAGGTCATGTCCAGCCTCTCATTCACTAGTACACCCAAGTCGTTCTTGGCTGGGCTGCTCTCAGTTTATTCATTACCCAGTCTGTGTCCATCCTTGGGAATGACCCAACCCAAATTCAGGACCTTACACTTGGCCTTCTTGAGCTTCATGAGGATTACATGGGCCCATCTCTCTACCCTGTAGAAGTTAAGGTTGTAGGAACACAACACACTGTGGACTCTGCTGAGGACACCCGGAGACAACTGCAGCAGGGTTGAAGCATTGTGAGGAAGGACAAGGAGACAGACAAAGCTGTCTGTACTGCACAAAGAGACGATGAGTTAAAAAAAGCTAGAATTTTCTCCTGATAGCAGAGTTAGGTAGGTTAAGGTCAAAACCAGTTGCAGAGTCCATGGACATGGGGAGGAAAGAAGTGACCATAGGAAGGGAAAGAGAAGGATAGGACATATCCTCATGCACAGAAGTCCTTGGGCAGCCAGCTGAGGATTGCTGAAACTCAAACAGCCCCAGCAGAGACAAAAAGACTGTAATATCACTTGCCTGGTCTGGGCC